TTACTGTTATATTCTGTAAAGAATTAAGATACTAGGAGTCACTATTCACTAATACCAGAATTCAACACAACAAAACCTACCCACAGAATAGCTTACTTACAAAAGCACTATATAAGAATATTATCACTAGCCAGATACTAGCCAAGAGAAAAAAAAGGAAACAATAACCTACAACAGTAGACTAGAGAGTTAGTATCAGCAAACTTTTACAACAGCACTATTAAATTATCACATCCTACTTACTTAGTTATACTCGCTTAATCATTATCTTCAACAGTAGAGTATAGTTCAAAAAGACTCAAAAAGAACTAGAAGTTTTTACCTAGTAAAGAGAAGAGATTTGGACAAGGTAGGGAATTCAATATAGTCTAAAAAACTAGCAGTAATCTACTTATAAAACAATGGAACTTAGTCCAGAGCAGTTGAACAGGATAGTTAATAACTATATATCTACCTTAGACAAGGTTCTATTTATTACAAGAGTTACTTAGGAAATCCTACCTCGAAGTAAGGAAAATACCTACAATTTTTAGTTCACTTTCAACACCATTATATCACTTGTGACTACAAAGGCAGGGTCCCCTAAGGCAATACCCATCATACACCCCGCTTTGCTAGTAGGATTTGAATCCCTTTATTCTCCCAAAAAACCAGAACACAAGGATCTTATTATAATGGACTTTGTTGAGTTTCTTGACTATGGTATGAGTGAAGCAATATTTACCGAACTTACTTCCGAAATTGAACAAACGATCTCGGAATGGATTATAAAGTTTTCCTTCCTGGCTTCAGAGCTTGAGAAGTATAAGGAATTGTTTGGATATGTTCTGGGTTCTATGACCTCGAAAGTTGATGGACTAGAGCAGTCCTACCCTCTAGCAGATGATCTCCACAGGCACCCTTGCTTCAAAGTAATCTTCGGGGTAGTGCAGACTTTCGATATATTGAGATGGATGTTCGAAGAGTGATAAGATATTTTAGCAACCTTTGTTTAGTGGTGTACTGTATCTTTGAAAGATGTACAGCCTAACCTCATACGTATGCGTGCGAGGAGATGACTCTATCAGGATACCTGGTATCTTCGATCTACAATGCTGAGTATTATCGGAGAGGGTAGCACTTTCACTACAAACAAATTTAGCTCCTTACTGGATAGTTATCTGGAGCATATCTATTGTTTCCTGGCTTTTCTTTTTTTCCCTTGTGTTTCTCATTCGCTGAGTTAGTAACTGATCCTATACGTTGGATATTATTCTGCCTGGGTGGTCTGCAAGAGGTACTATATAAGTGTTGACCTATCTTTTTGTCTATTTGTCTTTTCATACTCTTAGATGTTGCGGAGTGACTCTCTATCTTATCACATACGGAAATAAGCTTTTCAAGAGAGTGTAAAATAACTACATCACCTTATAGAGATACTTAACTTGAAAGACTTGAGACTGCGGGGTATAGTAAAGTTTTTGATTAAAGAGGAAAGGGAGGGGCCCCTAGAGGTACAGCCCTTTGATTAACCGCCAGCAGCACCGCCTTCCTATTATATCCTACTAAATCCCCTATTAGCGTACAGCGTAGTTGTGTATCACGCTGTATACATTATTAATAGAGCTAATGGCTATTATACTAACCTTTTATTATTAAATGAATAGTGTATATAATAGCACTGCTCTAGGGATATATATATTTGATATTAAGCTGACATATAGCGACACTATCTCAGATACAGGATATTGCCAAAGAGCATGCGGCGAAGCCCAGGCCGAGAGAATATCACACAGAAGACCGACCGGAGTATGTACTACCATTTCGAATCTAGAATGTAGAAATCATCATTTCGCACTGTTTATCAACTTTTACGTCGTGAGGATATAAAGACCCCACTATGTATGACGGGATGGGTGTTTACAGCTAGCCGCCACTTCACCGCCCGGGAGTCACCCGCACTGCCCATCAACATGTTGATTCACGATTCACTGGTCCGGTTTCCATTACGATGATCACCAACTCTCAACTGTCACTCACCTCCAGTCTCACCATTAACACATCAACACGCCAACACCACCTACTCACTGTCGAAATCCCGCATCTCCCTACATCCGGACAAGTTCTGCTGCCACTGCCAGCCAGAAGAGACAAGCATTCACACCAATGGACTACTTTGGATTTCAGCCGCCATCCAGATTGGCCACCCCGCTATCAGCCATGACTCATTGCTCTAATTTACACTGCATGGAAGAGAATGTCCATTCTCGAAGCTCAGGGCATGGTTGAGCGCTATAAAGTGCATTTTTTGAACCAGAGTCATGTACGGTGCCATTTACGTACAATAGTGAAGTCATTTTACAACATGTATTGCTGGATTCTTGTTTTCTACAGTACTGGTTGTTTGGAGCAGGTCTTGGCTTCTTCGAGGTCCCAGACGGACCCGAATACTAGTCTCTGACACCGCGAAGAGGTGCCTGCAATCGCCAGAGGATCAGGCCGAGCACCGTGGCGCCATGGGTCGCCTAAACAAGCACAAATTTGATAACGCAGGGCTCAAGGCTGCATGGAAGCTCAAGGTTATACAATCACAGGGCTCAAGGCTGTGAGGGAGAACTTGGTGTCGCAGCGGTCTCCTGTGGAGGCCCATGATGTCGCAGGCGTCCCTGCGGAGCACATTTTTACAACGCAGGGCTCATTGCTGCGAGGGAGCACGTTTTTACAGTCACAGGGCTCATGGGCTGTGAGGGAGCACATTTTTACAACCACAGGGCTCATGGGCTGTGGGGGAGCGCATTTATACAACACAGGGCTCATTGGCTGCGAGGGAGCGCATTTATACAACACAGGGCTCATTGGCTGTAAGGGAGCGCACTCTTACAATCGCAGGGCTTATTGGCTGTGAGGGGAACTTGTTAACACAGCACTCTCCTGCGGATAACACTCTGAGTGGCCTCGAAGTGTGAGGAAAAAATTCCTGCTCTTCCTTTCGACGGTAGGGTGTGTCTTTTATGCTATTTCGAGTATAGTTTCCGATAGGGACCACTTGTGTACAATGTGACAGACCCAAATATTTCCACTCGACATTCTTATTGGGTACCTGTGTTCTTACTGGGTGTTGAGGTGGTTGATTCAATGTTGAAATAAGATTTTTAGTGTTTGGGTTAGATAGAGGGTGGTGGAGTGGTTGGATCCACCCAGAGCTGTGGTTGTCCTGGGGCTAGGTCGGGTGAATTATTTGCCTTACCAATATTGTTGACTGAGGTGAAATGACCTTTAAATTAGCTAGCAGGTCGATCACCCACAGTATCTAAGTTGTGTTTGTAAACTTACGAGTCCAACTATGAAGCTAAGTTTTGTGAGCTGTTAATTGAAGTAATTCAATTCGTACAGACAGCTCGTGAGCCAATGTTTACCCCGTTGAAAACCCGTTAAATTATTACCAAATACTTTTTATGTCCTGCTTCTTTGAGTTTTATTTGAAATATGAGACCAGATATTGCTGGTGTGGGCTTAGGGCGTCGGTGTTTCCTACTATAAGTATTAGCCCCCAGATTCATCTCCATAACTGTAGATTCTCGTCCCCATTATAAACTATTTAAGAGGTACCCCTACCCTACTTTTTATAGAGGCCTATTTTATCAGTAGCACCCTGGCTTAATTTTAATATACGACTATAGGAGCCATTCGAAAATCTTACGTACTCGGAAAATACTAGATTTCCAACGTTGATTGTAGTATACTCTGTTCTTGTTATCCTTAGAGTCCGAATACAGCCAAAGCCCATCTAGGTCTTTCTCCAGTAACACTGCTGATAAAGAGTTATCGATCTACTTGAACAAAAATAATCAAGCTGCCCTACAGTAGGGCAATCCTCCTAGTAACCCTAAACACGGGGTACTACTAACCCCTCAATATAGCAGATATATGTCTTAGCCTATAGATAGCAACGTGCTTACCCTTGAATATCTTATAGAGTTAGTACTGATAACTCCCTTATTGTGAATATAATATCTTTACTAACAAAAGGGATATCTTAAGGCTAGATGTTTGGGTGAAGTTAGTTATACATTTTCTATAAAAAATAAACAAAGAGCTAATCAGAGTCTAGGTCTATAGATAGTAAAGTAACGGACTAAAGTACATATATTGAAGATATCTACAGGGATCTAGTAGATATTCTCCGCCAATTGGACTTTATCGAAACAGAAGTAGAGGAGAAAACCAAGAGTGGCCTAACCCATACACCAGATGAGCCGGAGCAGAAGACTACACGGACCCAGCGGTTACAGCGGTGAGGATAACTTGATGGGGCTGGATTGGGACTCTGATGATATTTGTTATATCAGAATCTACCAAGGATGTGTTAAATAGGTTCTCTCACGTTGAGTACACTCTTGCTATTCTCACAATTATCAATCATAAAATGTTCAGACCAGTAATCCTCTTCTACTTTTCTTAGATAGAACAGTAGAGTCTGTCTGTGGATGAGTTATATACCTTGTGAATGGGCTTTTCACTAATACACTTACCTATTAAGAGATTCAATATTATACATCACATTAGGGTACAGTGTAGAAATAGTTCATAAGACCGATAGACTCCATATCTACGACTGCAAAGTTTACTTCATTTCTCCACTGTCCCAGCTGCAACTTAAGAAGCCATTGAAATCAGCTGCTTCTCTCTGCCAAGTCCTCCATAGGCCGCGATCTGGTTTTCTTCATGTGCAGATATTAGGAAAATGGCATTATTGCTATCTACTGTGGCTACACGAAAACAGTGGTTTAGGCGGATACTATGTAGGTTCATATTATAGAGTATATAGCCTTTATATGATATGTTCTATTCGGGATTGTTGCGGAGAGCCCCTCCCCCTTGCGTCGGGTCCACGATATTCCGTGCTTATAATCGCACACAGATATTGCTCGTATATCCTCTCCTTCGAAAGGAACATTGCCGTTTCGAAGGAGAGTTGGGCTCTCTTCGCAGCGGTTTCTTCTTCAAGAGTTCCTCTTGCAATGGTGCGACATAGTTCCGAGGCCCCCAGTACTACTCCTGGGGGACAGACCACCCTGGGCTCCTCGTTCTATCCACCGGAGTATATTTGGAATTCTCTCTCTGATACCCAACGCGATTCATTTATGTCCACAGTGTCCGCTTCCCTCGTTGCGGGCGACGGGCAGCGTAAGCGCCCACGTATAGATCTCACCACAGAGGAGGATATCGACGACGGTAGGGTTCCGTCTCTTGTTTTGCCAGTCCTCCCCCGCTTCCCCGGTCTCGACCGTGCTGCCATTATAGCCGTTTTTGAACACACCTTCCGCCCAAAGAAGGACCTCATAAAACTTCGCAGCCCCGAATTCAAAGCCTCGGCACCGGATGGCGAGTCCTTCGACTTGAAGTCCACATCGTCTGGCCTGCAATTCCGCAAGGTGGTTTCAATCAAGGACTGGGGCAATGACGCATCCCTGTGGGCCCACTGCTTTAGCAATTATATCGCCATCTGGTGTGATTTCTTCGCTGCCAAGCACTCACTATGCATCAGTGGAATGGTCCTTTTCCACCGCCGTATTTGTGACCTTGCCAGGGCATATAAGTGGCAGGGGTGTATTCTGCAAATGGCCTTAGACCACCATCAGATGGTCGTCGATAAAGGCGACCTTGCCGTTTCTCTTGGCGACTGGGAAATTGGGAAAGCTCTCGAAAGCTCCTACCTACGCCCGGATAACGTGCTCCCAGCAAAGACAGCGCCGACTACCCCAACCACACGGTCAACGCGCTCAACCGCCGCCTCAAACAACGATTCTGTCATCTGTGAAAAGTTCAACTCTTTTGCTGGCTGTCACTGGCGAACATGTCACTGTAGGCACGTCTGCTCTAAGTGTGGCAACGAACACTCTATGATAAGCTGCAAAGTGAAACCAGCGAGTTAGGACCACGCCGCGGTCTGCCTTGATATATTTCAAACGCTATCACCGCCAACCAGCTGGCCAGCCCCGCGTCCCAACACTTCTATTCAGTTTGAGATCTTTGACTCTTCTCTCCCGCCCCTGCGTGATTCTGCTTCCCCTTTTATCAGTTCAGTGTAGGAAACTCTCCTTGAACGATATCCTGGCGATCTAGGGACTATTTGCAGCGGTATTCTCACATTCGGCTGCCGCCTTGGTTGTACGGGCCAGCCGACAGACCGCCGAACATCTAATCACCATATTGAGGAACCCTCTATTATCACCCAAAAGCTCTCCGATGACCTGTCAAATCGTCGAGTGCAAGTTTGCACTGGTCCCGCTGTTGTGTCCCCACTAGGGCTCGTACCTAAACAAGACGGAAGCTGGCGCCGTATCCATGACCTTTCCTACCCGCCAGGGTGCAGTGTCAACGAGTCTATCCCGGCTATCGCCTCTGCCATACAATACATCTCCATAGATCACATTTTCGAACTCACCCGCACCTCTGGACGAGGATGCTTTATCATCAAACGCGACATCAAAGATGCTTTCCGCAATATCCCCGTCGCACCGGCCGACCGGCCTCTCCTAGCCTTTTCGTGGGATAGCAAGACATACATGGAGTGTTGCCTTCCATTTGGTCTTGCAACTGCACCCTTCATCTTTAATCTCTTTGCTGAGGGTCTCAACTGGCTTCTGACTGCCTACTTACCTGGGGCCTCTATCGTCCATTACCTTGACGATTTTATCACTGTTTTTCCTCCTTCTGTAGGAGATGTTTCTCAGGCTATCGCCGAGTTCAATACCGTATACATTCCTCTTACAGATGCACTAGGCATCCCAAGGAATAACACCAAAGACGCCGCGGGTACCGTGGTCAATGTGCTTGGGATCGAAATCGACACAACACTTCTACAGGCCCGCATGCCTCGCGATAAGCTAACACGCGCATCTTCTGAGGCCGCGTCGCTATTACAGCAAAATCGTGTTTCGCATAAAGCCTTGCAACGTGTGATCGGTTTCCTCCAACACTGCTCAATGGTCATTCGTCTTGGCAGACCCCGCCTCCAGTCGCTCTACAGCGACCTCGCATCTTTCCCACCTCACCAGCGCTCTCTCCGCCGCCTATCCCATGATAGTCGCGAGGACCTCGCGTGGTGGACGGACACAATCCCGTTTTTCAACGGAATCCATTTCTTTAAGAAGAGCCGCCCCCCTAGTTGCCCTCTACACAGACGCGTGTGACTCCGGTCTGGGCCTCTTCTTCTTTTTTGCGCCCTCACGGGACTCCGCCGGAGACTGGTTGTCTGCAGCACCTTACCTGCCTTCCACTCACGCCGCTATTGTGGACGTCTCCTCCGTCTGCGCTAGCGAGGCCCACATCAACACCAAGGAGGTTACCGCAATTCTGCAGGCCTTCCTTCTACACAGCCTCCATTGGGCTCATCATCGTGTCCTCGCTTTTACGGACAGTGCCGTCGCGTTCCATGGCCTGTCTAAGCAGGCACTCCGCGGGCCGGCCCATCGCCAACTGCTCATGCTTTTCAGTATAGCAGCCGCCCTTGACATAGAAATCCAGCCACACTGGCTACCTTCATCAGAAAACCTGCTAGCTGACGCATTATCCCGTTCCGACTATGGTTCCATCGCTGACATTTGCCCACAGTGGACGAGCTCCTTTCCCTTGCTCCGCCAGCCTGGTTCTCCAGCCAGCCTATTTTCGTGAGTGCTGGTCATGCTAAGCTGGTCTGGAATGGTCTGGCAGAGGGAACAAGAAAAGGGTACCGCTCCGCACAGCGCTCATACACCCGTAGCTGCGCCCTCAATGGATTACAGCCATGGCCAGCAACAGCACCAGCGATCTACACTTGGCTCACGGAACGACTGCTGGGCGCAGGTGGGAGCCCACCAGTGAAGCCCGATACAGCTATGTCTGAGCTCTCAGCGCTCCGCGCGTACCACGTCGACAACGGTCTTTCCGATGCAATTTTTGACCTCCACGCCAAGCATTTTCGTCGTATGGTCGATGGTGCTCGCCGGCTGCAACCCCCGCGCCAAAAGCGGGTTCGCAATCCAATCCCACGCACCTCAATTATAACCCTATCAGGGAATATTTCACATCTACCTGCCCAGCCACTGAGGCTCTCAGGGCCCCAGAGAGACGATCTCAATCTTGCCGTGGCTGCCCGGGTTGCCTTCGCCGGGTTTCTTCGGGTCGGGGAATTTACATACTCAGCTGCTGAGCATAGGAATACGCAAATCTTTGTTGCTACTAAGTTAACCCGGGGGGATATCAGATTCTCCCCTACCATGGACCACGTCCTCCTCACTTTAAAGAGAAGCAAGACCGACCGAAACCACGAAGGTGTTAATATTGTCCTTGCAGCGACAAACGACGCGGCCTGCCCCGTTGAGGGACTTTCTAAGCTATTCCTTCATGATTCACAACCTTCAACTGCTCCTTTGTTTACGCTCTCCTCCGGGCCATTCACCTCAGTCGCCTTTCAACGCGCCGTTATCTCCAAGCTCAAACGCTCTGGGGAAGATACCACAGGACTAAAAGGTCATAGTTTCAGAAAAGGGGCAGCCCAACACGCCCACGATTCGGGCCTGAGAAGTGACCACATTCAAGCCCTCGGAAGATGGTCTTCCGAAGCTTTCCGTCTTTACTTCACGACGCCCCCAACAACACTGTACACCTGGAACCGTCAATTCCAGACCGGTCATCCAACTCCGGTCTCCTCTTCCTCACCACCAGCCCCTCCACCATCCTTATTTGGCCCATCGGGTCATTTGGGCCCGCCTGCAGCCCTCGCGGCGCTGTAGTCTTCTGTCAAGGAGACCTACATCACCATGTTCGGACTGCAGGTGCCCCGTACGGGCCAAAAACATCTCACGCGTCTTCATTGTAGCAATGGTTGGAATAGATGATATGTTCTATTCGGGATTGTTGCGGAGAGCCCCTCCCCCTTGCGTCGGGTCCACGATATTCCGTGCTTATAATCGCACACAGATATTGCTCGTATATCCTCTCCTTCGAAAGGAACATTGCCGTTTCGAAGGAGAGTTGGGCTCTCTTCGCAGCGGTTTCTTCCCGCCCACCGCGGAACCCTCATGTATGTACTAAGTATGCTTCCGCATAGCTTTACTTCCTCCTGAAATATACGGAGTGCTACGGGCCCGCCTGCAGCCCTCGCGGCGCTGTAGTCTTCTGTCAAGGAGACCTACATCACCATGTTCGGACTGCAGGTGCCCCGTACGGGCCAAAAACATCTCACGCGTCTTCATTGTAGCAATGGTTGGAATAGATAAGTACTTTTGTGCGACCCGCTCTACAGATGATGGATCTAACCAGTCCACTTGTAGATAGTCTGATCGGTTCCACCTTCCTCGTTCAAGTAACCAGAACTTGATATTAATAGGCTGTTCAGACACTGACTTATCGGGATTAGTATTTTGTATTATAATGTATTCGGTACTACTATCCATTACTTCGGCTAGACAATTACCCAATATTAGCAGTAAAAGATAGTCAGTGTCATCTAGCACAACTAGGTCTCTAGGCTCAGCTTACCTATTGCACAGCAGGCTAAGCTCTTCATTAAGCTAGTTACTCTCTATCCTTTTTTTGAGCTTCTCTTACTCTACTTAGGCCCTCCTAAGACCACCTAAGAAAGCCTCTAGCTCTTCTGATATAGGAGGACAGCTATCTTCTAACAAGATTATTGTCTCTGATAAAGATTATTGCTATACTGTAGGATCGATCAGTGTCTAGGTATTGTTTTCAAATACAGATGCTGTATTTAGGTTGATTTCTGCTTCTATTACTCTTTTATCTTAGCTCCACTTAAGTAAGATTGTCTCCAACAAGATCTGAGTGCATTCACTCTTAGTATCAAGGACTAAATCAGATCTAGGTAAGAAGTAAGAAGGAAGTATTTCTAGCAATAATTCACTTTATAGCTATCTGAGAGTAGTGTAATCTCCATACAATAGACTTATCCGATCTAGATCCATAGGCTTAGGTGCAGTTTCTGAACTGTCTGTCCCACAAGGAATTAGTTGGTATATAGGAGGATGACTCCTTCCAAGAAGGGATAACCCGTCTGATATATCTATGTGCCTTATAGATTCATCCAGTGGGCCATCATGGTCAACAAATAACAGTGATTCTATTATCTCTTCCACCCCTTCTCCATTCTCTGTAGTGGTACTAGGTTCAACCCTTAATGACTTCCCCCAAAAGGCAAAATAGATATAGTAGTGAATAAAAAAGCTAGTGATTGTGTCAGCAACGTCGACTTGAGCATATAATTAGTCCAAAAATAATAGCGGGGCATCTTGCATATAGGTGCGGGTCTACGGAACCCTAGAGTGAGTATACAGCTTGACGGTACTATCTACCAAAAGATTCTGCAAGGGACTAGGCTGATTAGGAATAGCTTTAGTAAAATACTATATAATCCGATATACTAGAGCATTAAACTGTTGGTCATCATATCTATATTGACCTAGCTTTTAGGCCTAGAGAAGGGCTAATTGTGTGATTTAGTAATCCGGAGAACTAGTTAGTAGTCTATTAATCTCCGGAGACCTAAAGCTAAGCCGGTAAGCAAGATAGGTTATCTTATAGATTATACACGGATCCGGATTAGTATAAGTTAGCTTAGCTATCAAATCATCAGTGTTCTTAGGGTTGGGGGGTATCAGAGGATAATATTGTATAGTATAGAGCTATAGCTATTGGTATCCAGTCTTAAGGCATTCTGCCTCAGTTGTATACAGCTATCAGAAAGTAGACTCTGAGGTCTGGATCACACACATCCTGGCCTCTAGACGATTTTCACCAGATACAATATCTAGATCAAATATTGTGCTTATAGATTCCTTGACTAACAGGTATAACAAACTCCAAAGTTGTCTAAGATAGTGAACGCAACTCTCTAAGTACTTAAAATCTTTAAAGAAAGTATGTAAGGATGGAATAAGACTATTATAACCTTTCATTCAAGCCTATATAGTACCTTGCTTATCAGTATTAAATTTGGTAAATACTTAACTACTAAGAACTAGCCTATATACTATTATTTTATCAGTATGTGATTAACTTAGTACTAGTAGTTATAGGGTATAGACAGTATTCTGATTGATTTTCTTCATCAGATACTGATCCGATCTAACCAGAGAAGACCAGAAGTCTAAGATATGGTCAAAATAGGTTGCTATCTTCTGATAAATAGAAAGTGAGTTAGTCAGGAAAAGAATAGTAACTTAAGTTTGGAACTTATATTAATATAGCCCGAAGCAATTAATTGATGAAGTATGCTAATTCTTATTCTGTCCGACTAAAGCCCGGGAATCGCCAATAATCAGTTAAATGTATGTTGGAGACAATAGTTCTTTTTATTGTTAAGTTGATCTAATTACTTTTGATTACTGGGTAATAGTCTTACGAACTATTGCTCTCGGAAAGCTTTATTACTCTCGCCTTTATACTATCTAATCTTGTGATAGACTTTCCTATCGGTCGGCTTCTTCTGATTGGAATATTCTTCGACTAATATAGCTCTTAATTCCTTGCTAATATCTTATTTAACAGTTAGTATTAATCTAGCGGAAGGTAAGGGTCTATTACCTACTGTCTGTGTAGAGGTTAACTATCTACTAGTGATCTAATCAGGGGAGTACTTTAACACCAGCTTATATGCGATGATGGCTATAGAGACTGCGAAGTTATCCCGTCTAAAATTCTAGCTAGGGAATATAGTGGCCTTTGGCTGTTAGTAATAATTCCTGTGGAATATTTGTCTTCTGTAATGTATCCGCAAGATTATATTCAGATATAGTCGCAGGCATATAGTTTTGGATATTGAGGTAGTAATAATAATTCTTATGAAAGATATTTTGTAGCCGATCTAAATTCTTAAGGTCTAAACTCTGTGGCAAGGGAGATTTAAATTAGATTTAGGGAATGCTAATTTTGGCTGTACTAAGGTATTTAAGTCATTGTTCTACTGTGAGTCCTATCTCCTGCTTGGTAAAGACGTTCTGAGTTATAGTGTTAGGATAGAGATAGGGTTCAGAGTTTGCTTGATTTATTGAGTGTGGATGCCTATATAAATATATCTAGGTTTATTTGTTGTAGTGGCTTAACATTGGCACTGTGATTCTTTGACTATAAGGATGTCACCTAATACTATAGTGTTCTATATATATGAAATACCTATTTAAACTGAGTAGATTCTCTCGTTATATTTTATGTACCTCCTTCTACTTTTAATTCTTTGTATAAATTCTATTCTGCTTTAATAATATAAAATCCCAGCAAAAAAAGAGTAATAAGAATCTAGGCCACTTAAGTTGTACTACTTCTCTAGCTATAAACCTGAACAGAAGTATTATTGGTAACGGACCTTAAGCCTGGCCTATAACCTCTCTATCTAGGACCTGTACCTGGAAAGAGACCTACCACTTCTTCAATCTTAGAGTATATTGGTAAGATAACTTAATTGATACCTAAAAGCTCGTCTTGCTATAAGACTATATAGTGGTAGAGTATTATTAGTTCTAGCCTAATAGTCTGAGATAAATCTCCTTGGGGTACTTTTAGGAAGTACTATAATTATGATCTAGTTGGCCCCGTTACAGTATATGTTCGGTCCTCTGGTGACTGTGGTGTCTGGGCGATATACCAGTATCTAATTAAGGACACTGATAACGTTCTGTGGAACCTCCGCTCTATATGCTATAGGAACTTGGTATCTATTAGGGAGTGTTTCTGTACCCCGGATATTCTATATATACTAGGTAAGTTTGACCCTCTTGTCTTAGATCATATTGTTGCTTGTAAGGTATTCCTAGATGAGTAGGAGCTTACAGCTATAATGTCTTAGGTATATTCCTTATCTTTCCTATCTACTAGATAGTAAAGAGGCTGATTATATATAGTTCGTTGACGGGCTATTATATCTTATAGCTAATAACTTCTACTATATATCTCTGGATTGCTCTAGTATCCTTATAAATCTTAATAGGCACGTTAAGATCGGTACGTTCATTTTACTAATACCACGAAAGATAACCTTACCTAACGAGGTACAGTAGTACGTATTGATTGCTGTGTTGTCCGGCAATAGAGCACAATTTAAGCCAATGACTTAGTACTAGTATTAAGAATTATGATGGAATTGATGCAAAAATATATCAAATAAGATAGGGCAGTGGGGATTGATAATCTTGATTGCTGGAAAAGCTGCCTGGCTACAATCGAATTTCTCTGCACGATAACTTCGGCAAGCTCTTTTGAGGAACTGAAAGAGGTTTGTTTCCCTTGGGTTTTTCTTCCATAGTGGTATTTTTAAAAGGTACTAATAGTATCTAGTAACGACTGTTAACGGAAATTCTATGCTGCCCAGGGAATCTCATTGGACTTGTATGGTTTGCATTGATATCTGCTTGTACATTCTACTTGTATACGCCAGGGCCTATGAATAATGATTAAACCAGAAGTCAAATTTACATACTTGCATCTCCTGTTATGTGAGACATAGCAGCGGTAAGTTTACCGATGAAAAGAAAATCATGCATGGTACGGCAACCGACGGTCTTCCTGTTCGTCATTGTTCAAGCCTTTGTTCTGCTATTAAAAAATACGCTTTTCGATTTTGATAGAAAAGAGTTGAATAACTTCCATCGCCAAGAAAGTTCTACTCGGGCTTTTTTCAGTGTAATACCCGGTCCCTATAATTTCCTTATTGATCAAGTTGATCAAATATCTTATTCAGATCGGCTGATCAGGTAGTTTCGGAGATCAAATCGGCGTGTACATCCAGTTCTTTCAAAACCGCCAGCACATTATCCAAAAAGCAAAATCATCTTCCGTCTGGCATTCCGCTCCGAATCGGTTATATCCCACAAAGCTTTGAGATCCAAGGATCGCAAGGCCGTCTCATCAACCTTGTGAAATACGCCCCGCCTGTCCTGGACTGAGACAACCCACATCATTATCGAAGATTGTCCCTCGTAAATATCGTCTTAATTTCCCAAAGATCATGTTTTTATTTGTTTTTCAAGGGCATGGAAGGTAACTCCAACTAGTATCATATGCTCGAGACTACTTATTGTATCAGCTCTATGTGAACTCCCTATTATTTAATTACTCTGGCTGGTATTCCAGCTCCGAAAGCCTTACGCTGTGATGTAAAAATCCCTTGATAGTCTTTCGGATCTGGCCTCTGAGACTACCTGCTGCTGAAACTAGAACGAACTTAGTAAACGAGAGAATAGAGCCAGGCTATAGTAGGATTACTTACCCATTACTAAGGTCCGGCCTTACTCATCGCAAATGTTCGGTAGCCTCTCGATCTGGTCTCCCAATACCTTGAGCGAGACTATGTTGTTATAATCGGGTATACCCTGGTAAAAGCAGGCTCTTTCATGTTTTCCTATTGGCGTCTTATTATATATAAGCCCTTTTTCGACGTAGATCGAAATGCTAAGAATCTGTATATATATACTGTTAATATTAAACAAAGTTTTCATTTTGAAGCCGGTGACTTATATAGCCTTTATCTATAATATCGTCCTCCAGGAGGGGGTTGAGCAGGTCCTTGGTGGTGCTGACCATTTCTGATTTGTTAATGTGCTAGTTGACCAAGGTGCTGAAGCGAAAGGGTCTTCTTACTGATTGATTCTATCTGCTATACCAAATGTAGCCGATAGACGTGAAGAGTATAGGTATTGTATCTATGTATCATCTTCTTTAGGTACAGAATTATTGCGGTGATCCCAAAACCACTTGTAACCAGTAGCACGGTTTCATAACTGTTAATAATCTCACTGGTACTATATGGTTCTGTGAATATGGCTAGGAATGGTATAGGATAGCCAGGAACACCAGCTATAAGCCTCAATAGGTCTAATATTATGCCACTGTATGGCTGTACAAATAACTCAATTGTATTATATCTTCCGCGCGACCATAATATAACTATAAAAGGGTACGTTTGAAGCTATAACCAAGATCCAACTGACGGCATCTACAAGTTAATATACTGGCCTATATCAATCTTGATAGATCGGGGCAGAACTAGACGAATCTGGACTACTTTTCTTAGCTTAGGATATATAAAAGATTCTTCTAGAGTGAAGGATATAAAGGCCTGTAGAGTACTGTAGCCCGAAAATAGTCTATTCGTATAACAAAGACTAATAATCTCTAGGAGCGTAGTTAGGGCCAGAATTACTAATAATACGTAAAGGTACAATTTGGACAAGTAACTCTAGTCTAGGAGATATTACTATGTACTATATAAAAAGAGAATAGTGAGGGCTTGGTGGCTTTAGAGGAAGACTTTATAACACCGTTGGTGGAGCTATAGGAGAGAAAGGAGAGTAAGAGTAGTTAAAGAGATTAATCTCTATCAGAGTTAGCCTTAAATTTATAATAGGGAATATAAAACTTACAATCAAGGTAAGTAGGTTATGTGTTTCCCTAAGAGGAAAACTGAATCCCTGACTCTGGTATACTATAACTACGTGGAAAGACAAGAGAGTAACAGATATCTAACCTGTTGCCTGATGAATCTTGTAGTAAGTACACTAGGTGATATCCAGAATATTAGTAAGGTAACTGAGGTAAGTGGCTGAGAGGGGAAAAGTAAGGTTGATAAAAGCTAGCTCTCTAGCTCGACGGCCAGCTTGGGCGACAGAGTGTATATGAAAGAAGACCATAATAATATTTATAACAATGTAGACAAAATATATGAGAATATCCAGCCGGGACCAAGGTCCCTAGATCCAATATCTGTGGATGAGAGTAGGAAGTGTAAGGTGCCGAGAGATCAAAACGGAGTAGGACTTAATCCAGCTAATTATAGTGGTTCGAGTCTGGATTAGGAAGAGAGCTAAAAAGCAGCCTCCAACGGCGATTGTATAGATTAATGATATATTCATCCTTAGCGGGATCTGTAATTATAATGGACTTTGGAGGATGGTATATGAGGGGAGAGCGGACCTCTTTTAAATGAAAGCTATTAACCACGGCATCGTCATGTCCCTTTTAGTGATATATGTACCTTGTAGCGAAAATTGAAAGCATCAGGAACATGAAGCAGAACACTTCAGAAAGCCTTGACTGAGATTGTTTTCAATGCCATGATGGCTCAGCTGCTGCAGACATCAAAATTAATGAGCTGCCCTTGAGAGCGCTGGGAAGAGAGTGTGTCAGAAAATGAAGGCTATTCGAGACTCACAAATATATCCCTTCTTGCTCTGAATCAATAAATCAGGATCTTCAAGAGCCGCTAATGAAATGGAAAGGGCTATAAAAATGAGGTTGTTCTTTCTTTCTATTCGATGTAACGTTATTGTGGGCACAGGCTTCTTGGCTATTCTTAGCGATTCTGAGCGACCGCGACTTTATCTCATATAAGGACAAGTACATACAAAGCTAGCACTGAAAAGGTGCTGTATGGAAGCATTTGCTTAAACATGGCGGCCCATAGTAAGCAGTCTGGATAGAGTTTTGAATTGAAAGGGGGAGGGTAGTAACTTAAGGGACGTAAAAAAAGAGTCCGCATTGTGTGTGCTCAAGAGGGTTGGGAGTTAAAGAAGGTAGGTTTAATAAGACGTGTTGGAAAATGTGAGTGTGGGGCCGAATCCACAGAAACTTTGTTTTAAATAACTCTACCAACGGAACTCGATTTGTTATTAAGTACAACTTGACTTTAGCTTTGGCCATCAGAAAAACCGTTAATCCTGTGCTCAAAACCTCGCCAATTGTCTATCTACGTCTATCGTTAAGCTCAGCAGCAATGCTGCCCATCCGGACACGGAACAAGAAATCAAGGGGGAGACCGGCGCTTCTAGGGCTCAGATTCACCCCTGTTATCGGACTCGAAGCGTACGAACGTATAACAGCTGCGGCCGAACAACGCGCCACGCAATCAGCTAGAGAGGCTATAATGTGCTTACCTAGTAAGATAGAGGAGATACATCTAGTTGATGAAGGCCTAGCGACACACGTGATCGGAGAATCAGAAGAGGCTTGCGAGTTTGTACCGACTTAGGCCGAGCTTAAAGTCAAAGAAGCTAATGTAGTGCAAAAGACTTCTATACCGATAAATAGGGGGATAAAAGGTAGTTACCTTTTGAGACAATTAAGAATAGAAGTCTAATCATCGGAAATGGCTTGGATATGAGATAAAGAGAGTGGCATTTGGCTCTAGCTTCATCCTGAAAGAGTATGTGCCTTCTCACAATATCTTGTATAGCCGACTTCGTACCCATACTGATTTTTAAGTAGCCAGTATATCAACGAGCTGACCTCGATTGGACCTAGCCTATATTATAGTCTGATATATTTCGAGTTCCATTTCGATGATGTCAGTTACGATGCCAAGAACTTAGCTCTAGAACTCACGGACAAGGCTGTAATTTACCTCGCCAAGTTATGTCCTAACCTTCACTCCGTGCAGCTTCAGGGCACCTCGGGCCTTCAGGACATTATGCTCGAAGCCTTGTTTAATAATAGCGCTAATATCTCCTATGTAAGTTAGAGCTTACCACGCATAGCAGGCATGGAAACAGTTGGTTGGATGGATCGGCCCTCGATAAGTTGCGAGTGTATCCACATTGGGGCACCAAGTTAAACAAGCTCCGACTCCCAAATCAGGGCACAACCTGCGATGGGCGCGATTCTCTCACGAGAGCAGTGCGTGCTCTCACCGAGGAAAGGGATAAGCTCTTGGTCCAGCTGGTCAGCATCTCTGAGTGCAAGAAATGGGGAGATTGGGAGCTCGAGGTCTGGCATACCAACTTTCGCAAAGGAAGGAAACAGATCACTTCATAGACGACTATTCGTTGCGCGGCGCTCACCGAACGCACCCAACAAGGCCAAACCTTGTCGCCAGTGTACATTGACGTGAACTCGTAGATTAGGTAGCGCCGACCCCGATCAGAAGAACGACGACAGGGCAGCAGAGACACTGATCTAGAGGGGATACCGTAGGGCAGCTAGAGTGGGCGGGCGGGGCCATGGAAGCCACGCGCAAAGACGCAAATTTTCTGTTCAAGTTCTGGTTAGGTACAGTACAGTCGTTCTCGAAATCGGCTTGACCAGTACACACTAAATCACTCTTTCCTGGCCCCACTCCCAAGGCCTTAGCGCAGACAATTAATTGGGCTGGCCCCAGCAAATTGAGCGCCGCTGTAACATGATGTTCGTATAGTATTGCTAAGTGCTAGTAAATTAATGTAGTGTGTACAGTACGTCCCGAAACTGGTGCAACCGCCTACACTCTTTGAGTGATTATTTACCCCTTACGCCAAGACACACTAGCCTATATTAGGAAGTTATTCCAGAGTACCTGTAAGTTGTGTGTGTATTGCTTCGTACATAGATTATATAGTAACTTCAGGCATGTATTCACTTGTAAATTCAATACATCTACAATGCCCGTCATTCCAACAAGTGCTCAATAACATCACCCCGCTTCAACTTGGCCAAAATGGGTTTCACTACCAGGCTGGTAGTACCACCCTTACTTAAATAGCGGCCTGGCTTGTTGCCTTGCGTCTCAGTCAGCCAAATGACTAGACAGCTTCCAGAGCGTATCTTTCCGAGAGACACGGCACCTACACTTGGTGGACTGAATATGGCAGGTCATCTACAGCGACTTAAAACAACGCCTCGAAGCCGCCGACACACACCCCCTCTTCAACAAACGCATCCCCTCCGCCTCGAAAGTCAGCTCCTAGCCTCTTTCTTTCTTCACGTAGCCAATAACTCGAGAAGACGACCACCGAGGCTAGCTCACAAACACAATCCGAATCCACAAACAGTGGTTACTGTAGCAGTTCCCATTGAATGTTTGGCTCACTTTACATAGCCAGATCTAGATTCCTAGGACCGCAGATCAAATCAGATAGAACAGGGTTCGCGAGTGATGCGTATGAATTATCCAGTCGGGAGCGGGGCTTAATGACTCCACGAACCCTTCCGCATCCGGAACAGATTTGGCGTAACTGAGGCGGTGTTACAGTAGTAGATGGAGTGCGTTTTTATCTTTATAAAGAACATTGAATGGAGCAGTTTCCCAGCTCTTTCTCCGGGCTATCCTAATTCGCATTAACTTTCGAATACTCACGAAATTTAAAATTAACTAAATTAAAACTTAGTTCCGTCTGTTACGGGAGCTCAAGGAAGGTCAGCCCAGCCTAGACCACTGATTCATCGCCTAGTAGCTTGCTCTCCTTGTTCAAGTGTCAATGAAAAACCTTCGATGAAACTTTCAACACAATACCTTTCCAAAGTTCCTAATTCTACGCATGATGCTGCCTTCGAAAACAGACTAGCCATTAATTGGAACAAGGCAATTTAGCATCACATATATAAAACAACAAGGCCAACTTCCAGCACTAGTGCATAATAGTCAAGGGAAGCTAGGCTGCTCATATAAGACGGATTCCGTCCAACAGCCTCCATACACTCAACTTGCCGTTGGTATTTTGAGTAGGAACTAGACTCAAGCAGTTGGATTCCCTGAGGAAACTTGTTGGGACCCGGCTCCGGGGATGTTCGTCACGTTGCCGTAGAATACCACCAGAACTGCAGCATACGCTGCTGTAGCGACCAAGATCTCCTGGTCTTTGAAGGACGTGCCAAATGCGGCTAGAGATAATCCAAATAACGAAGTAGCACCTATAAGAACTCCGAGGATCTTCCACTTCGAAGTGTCTGGCACGGTCATGATGATTATGGGAACAATGAGCCATGCCGCGGCGATGAAAGCAACAAAGGTCCGCGCAAGTGCATCGGTCCAGCGTGAGTATCTTTTCGGTTTCTCATAATTCCAGTATTCTCCCTGGTGCTGTTTTCTTTCATCCATGGACCAAGCTAAATTTCTAGGCAGGTTCTTTCTTAGTACTATACCGATATGTGCTGAGACGGCTGATTCCGGCCCTGTCGGCACCAATTCGAATTCCAAGTGTATCTCTCAATCGTACCGTCGCTATGCAAAGCCTGAAGTAGGTAGTACTTGTGGGAGTATATGCTACTCCCCCGAGTATATCAACTCCCTGGAGTATATCCTACCTCAACAGCATTGGGGTGCACCAATAGGATATCAACAAGTCTAAATTGCTACAAAGCCCCGAGTTGGAAATTTATGTTGGCATAATAATGACTAATACAAGCGGTCTAATACTATCTCCGGTGCTCCGGTATCCACTCCTGCTTCTGTTCCGTCATCTATTCCTTCATGGGTCACGTGCCATTTTACCGTCACCTAGTTTCGTGGTGTAAATTAGACTCTTGTCGAAGCGATTCTGTACTCGAGTAAACGGTATGGTTGTTGCATTATTTACAACCCTATAACTAGAACGAACCACCATGACGTCGCCGCAGTTTAGAGTCACCAAAATTCTTCCTAGAGTTACATGTAAATGTAATATAATTAAGTGCAGAACCAATGTCACTACCCCACCCTCCGTCCGATGATCAAGGACCTACTGCCAAGACCCAAGCCCAGAGGTTGCATGCTGGTTATGAACCATGGAATATATGATCAATACCGATTGACCGGATCGTCACTATTCTGTGCGGCAATAATGTTGACTTTATGGCCCGATGACTTGCTCGAAGCAGGGTAGCTCTATGGACTGTCCTAGACTTTGTCGTTTCCGGCGACATACTATATCTTCGAGAATCTAGACACTGGGTACGAAAGTTAAACATTTAAGAATATCCTGATGTTTCCGGCATCATCCTCTGATGTCATGCAGATTTACTCCACGATGTCATGTCGTAGGTATATTAAGAACCTGGATGCCGGTAGGTCAGCCAAAACCAAATCAAAGTCTGAAACTCGTAACCATCCTATTATATCTACCCACCCCCGAAAATTTAATACCAGTACTTAACATTAATATTCCCTATGACGGAGTCATCTGATCGCGATAAACAACGTCAAATTCTATATGATCAAGGCTGGTCCGTTGTTTATGGTGATCTTATCAACGAATGGGATCTAATTACTGGCATCGCTTCTATTCCCTTCGGCGCTACTGGTGCCTGGTTCTCGGAACAGCTTCAAGCTCAATTATTGAAATTTCAACAAAGCTTAGGTGACGTCTCTGACGATATCGTCGAACAGGCAAGAACCTACCTAAAAAATCTATGGCAACGCAGAAGGGTCGACGAGGCAAACTTCGATGGGTTAGGGGTCAAAGTTGGAATCCTCACGTATCATCGTCGGCTGAAAGCCTTTGGGGGATGGACAAAAATTCCCAATAATTATCAGCAGTATATGGCTCTGCGCATTACCAAAGCCTTACCAGGGAAAGGGGTCCTTAGCACCACTGGCAAGGCTGTGCAAGGATTCATTCTTCAGACTGGCACAGGATTACACGAGACAGATAACACGTTCGAGTTTGCTGTGGGTGACTGGAATGGAGATGGACGACCTGATTTGTTTGCTGTTAAAAAGAGCAACACCGGCTCGAAGAGTACCGAAGTTCACATTCTCTCCGGTGCTTCCAACTTCCAGTCGTTTATTCTTCAGACTGGCACAGCATTACACGAGACAGATGACACATTTGAGTTTGCTGTGGGTGACTGGAATGGAGATGGACGACCCGACTTGTTTGCTATCAAAAAGAGCAACACCGGCTCGAAAAGTACTGAAGTCCACATTCTCTCTGGTGATTCCAACTTCCAGTCGTTTATTCTTCAGACTGGCACAGCATTACACGAGACAGATGACACATTTGAGTTTGCTATAGGTGACTGGAATGGAGATGGACGACCTGATTTGTTTGCCGTTAAAAAGAGTAATACAGACTCGAAGAGTACCGAAGTCCATATTCTCTCTGGTGCTTCTAACTTCCAGTCGTTCAGTCTTCAGACTGACACAGCATTACACGAGACAGATAACACGTTCGAGTTTGCTGTGGGTGACTGGAATGGAGATGGACGACCTGATTTATTTGCCGTTAAAAAAAGCAACACCGGCTCGAAAAGTACCGAAGTCCACATTCTCTCTGGTGCTTCCAACTTCCAGTCGTTTATTCTTCAGACTGGCACAGCTTTACACGAGACGGATAACACATTCGACTTTGCTGTAGGTGAGTGGAATAGTGATGGGCGGCCCGACTTGTTTGCGATCAAAAAGAGCAACACCGGCTCGAAAAGTACCGAGGTCCATATCATCTCGCCCTAACGGCGGGTTCGAGCTGGGGAACTTGTCGCCGAATATGGCCCGCGAACGGCTAATTCCAAAATTCGTTCTTCTATCTAGGAATCTGATTCTGGTTTTGGGCTACAGTACATCTATGGACTTTTGAGCAGTTTCTGCGTCGAACTCGAAAAAACCTACTACGCCGAAAATCTGTGTTTCTCTTGCAGTAACAATGTCCCGCGGCGTTTCAAGGTCAGACAGTTCACTTTTTACTCCAAATTAATGTAAGAACGTATACAGTAACTAGCGAAATCTGCTTCCCCCCCCCCCAAAGAAAGAAAACCTTGGTCAAGGGAGGTGCCAAAGCCTTCGCGCAAATCTTTTGCCGTTGGAGAATGCACGATGTATAATTCCGTATCTGCCTCTGTAAGATTGTACTGCTAAATATTGGGCGGTGAACCCCTGATAGTGGTGGTATCAATACGTGTCTTACGGTGGTCCTCAACTTCGTATTGTCCAGGAAATAAGATAATCGCCCTAGGGCCCCGGTAGTGGTTTCGACTAAAGAAAAGCTATCTTCAGCCAGGAAGCAGATTTCGCTCGTGACTGTATCATTAGACGTGAATTACGTGAGATTAGTTGGCACAGTGTGGTATTTCAAATGCAGAAAAGACCAGTTTTGACGAATGTCACTAAAAGGTTACATACAAGAAGCGAGGTAAACGGATCTCTCTGAGCGATTATGCTGCTGTTTTAGTGTTCCATAAGGCCTTCCAATGATCCGCGGGGTCGTACAGAACCAGATTCCGATCATCTTGAAGGATAAGAACACATTCGGAAAGATCAGATCCCGTCATAGCGGTTCCTGTCCTCCAAGACGGTGTATTGTTTCTGTCATATTGAACGATATTGTGGTCCGTCTGCGCGACAATGCGAAAAGGTGGATAACCTCTCCCATCGGTGTATGACTGCCAGACAACCGTGTTCCCAGGCCCATACAACACGACATTGCCATCACCTTGACAAATGAAACGGTAGTAACCGTTGTCAGATTGGAGATAATCACCTTCCATCATTGTGTGGTTATTTGTATTGAGACGAGAGCCAAGATTCTTGCCAGATGGTGTGGGTCGGCCCTTAGCTTCTGCAGTCAGGGGAGGCAAATCTGGTGATTGCTTGTTGGTGATGCGCAGAGCCATATACGGCTGGTAATTGTTTGGCAATTTCGTCCATCCGCCCAAGACTTCGAGCCGTCGCTTATATGTGAGGATACCAACTTTAACCTCTAAGTTGTCAAATTTTCTTTCACCGAGCTTTCTGTGTTGTAACAGATCTTTTAGGTAGTCTCTTGCCTGGTTCACAGCATCGCCGGAGATATCACTAAGGCTCTGCTGGAATTTCTGTAATTGGGCTTGAAGTTGCTCGGAAAACCAGGCACCAGTAGCGCCGAAAGGGATAGAAGCAATGCCTGTGATTACATCCCATTCGTTGATAAGGTCGCCATAGACAACGGACCAGCCTTGATCATATAGAATTTGACGTTGTTTATCGCGATCAGATGACTCCGTCATTATCGAAACAAAGCTTCGGAGATGTAATAGGACAATCAAAAATAAACAATGATTTATGTGGCTAGCCTACCGAGATCAAGGTCGTTATATATCTAGAAGTAACAGTTTATCGATGATGAGATTTATATGACGTCATAGAACGATAATAGAGCTATTAGGATCTTCTTATGCAAACGGGTTTTCATGTACTTTTGTCTTTACTATTCGCCATCTGGATCTTATAGATTTTCAGAAATGTATAGATATCGCCGGAAGAGACAAAGCCTAGGACAGTCGATGAGATTGCCAAGCTTCTAGGCGGGGTCATCGGATCAGTACAAGTGACGAACATAATACGGATAACGTACGAGTGCTTAAAGTTAATTGATAATTAATGAATTAAAATACAGGAATAGTTAATATCTTGCAGTAGAGTTGTCGTGGCGCCGGCCTTGCACGGTTACGAGATCTGTCAAATCGAGGCGGTAGTGGGTCCCGTACGATAAAACCCGAAACGATACGCCGATAGAATTCACCAGAGCGTCTGTACGTATAGTGTAATGTCTTGGCACTGTATTAAAAGAAGTGAATTCAATTTTACAGGTGGCTCGATAAATGATTCGCACTAAGGCCTTGGCAGCGGGGCTAGGGAGAATGACTTAGTGTGTAGTGGTCAAGCCGATTCGAGAATGACTGTAAACATGGTTGTGTGTCAGCTTCCACCAAGTGTGTTCCAGGGTGTCAAGAAGAGAGGACTGTAGCTGACAGGCTGAGTTTTATGATAAGCGGGTTCATGAGTAGTCTGCAGGTACAGTAAGCAAGTAATGCAAGTCACTATTTGCAGGTTGGGTGCCAAGTAAGCCCCCCCAGACCATCTCTTGGGCATAGGAGCGGAAGGGAAGTGACAGGTCGCCAGATTCTTGACTCCCAAGATCTAGTGTTTGACTTATTTTGCATTTCCATCGAAAATTCTAGTTCCCTTGGATCGCCAATACAGTTACGAAACGAATCAACGTATTTTAATGATAGTAAATCACGGTATCGAGATTGGTACGGGAATATTGATATTCCGGTCCTATTCCTAATAAGGTCTAGCATTTCTTGGCCGTGGGGCTAAATAATCACTCAAAGAGTGTAGGCGGTTGCACCAGTTTCGGGACGTACTGTAAGAGAATAGCTTGCATATGGAAGCCAAAAGTGGGTCTCCGCGAAAATACCCCGTGGATAACAAGCTTGGTGACTACAGTTGTTTACGGGCAGCAGCCTTGCGGCAGCTGATGATGTAGGCCTCAGCGAATCAAGAATAGTAAGACTATCGTTACAGCATGTACTATAACGCCATGGTAAAATGTCGTACTAAAAAAAGAAATTTAGGCACTGAAAAGGGGAATGCACTCTGGCAGCCTGTCAAGCAGGCGGGCTGAGAACAACAACAACAACACCAACAACACGTCCTAGTAGGCATAAGCTATGTTAGGGGAATCACACAGATAGCATTAGTAGCGAGTAACAACTGTGTGGAGGATACCTCTATGCAGCAGAAACTGAGTATAGGAAAGATGTGTAGTGTGTTATTCATGCTCAACCTAAGGAGTGAAGGTCATGTAAATAAAGAAACCAATTGTGCCTTAATAACAAGGCTGTTAATAATTCTCCACCAAATCCCCACTGGAGTACATAGTACAGTCGAAACCAGCGCCGCCTTTTTCGCACTTAACTTCTGCAGGCACAAATTCTCCTATTTTCTAGAATTCAATTACTAGTATTTTATATCTAAAAGATCCAAATGAGAGAAGCAGGGAGCTCTATTATTATTCCTATAAATCTAACCAATCTACTAAAGGTACTTAATCTACTAAGCATAATAATATAGCACATTCTGTGCTGTGTAACTGAGGTAGTGCTAAACTAGCTAGGAAGGCGAAGAGAGTGGATAAATTACGGACTTAAACTGTTTTCCTCCTATTAAATATTGTCAGGTGGTGTGGGCGGCTCGCTTGTGTATTTTGTTATTTAACTGCGGACAGAAGTTCCTCTTTTGTCAGTTCACACCACTACCCTAGCCTGCCGAATAGCGAAATCTATCAAAAGCGTCGCACGTAGACTGGCATTATGGCCTTCGGACTAATATATACTCCAGTAGTGGTTTTCATCACACTAGGCTCACTTGTACTAATTGTGATACTAATAGTGTATCTGCTATACTTAAAGCACCAAGTTTCTAATAATACTACCTCTTAGAGTGGCCGTTACCGATCGTATAGAGCAGTATTCAAATCCCCTTCATTATTAGACGAAGTGTTTCTAGAGCTATCTAGTATACCGGGAGCTATTATATTAGATACTAATGAGTGGGTCATTATATTCGAATGACTTGTCTCCCGTCCTATCCCAGTTTTGAATCTAATTAGCCTAATTGCGGATAGGCCAACTACTATATTATTGAATGTTAATACTACTAAAAATGAACTATCAGACCTGCTCAAAACTTATGTCCGGGCGGCGTAAGAGGCTTTTAGTTAGATGTCCCAGGCTTTCATTATCCGTAAGCTAATAGGTGATCCCGGGCTTAAGTGTACATTTGATACAGACTAGGTTTGTGATCTCTCATTTAAATATAGTGACGTTGTAAATGGTATATATTGTGTTGACTACGTTAGAGACAGTGGTATGACCGGATATAAGTGTATTGAGCTAGGTCTCGCTGCCTCTCTATTATATAGAGGGTATTTAGAGATAGGGTTGATATTATCTGCTATCGAGCTGTACGGCCCTAATAGCGCAGAATCTTTATAGAATAGTGTAACTAAGAATATAGTTGTATTTGTTAATGAGACGTAGCTCTGGAGATATAAGAACGGAAAGCCTATACTGCTCAAGTCGGGCCCTGGTAGCTGGCTGTACTCTGCTATAGCTGGATAGCTGGTAATAAAGAGTATTAAAGCTATGACTGTAGTGTATTTAAAAGAGTAGTAACTTACTGGAAGAGTATTATATTATGTATAGTATATATATTAGTAGTAGAAGCTGAAATGTTGGCTCCGATTTAACCTACTTTTTCTGCGAACGAAGACCGTGAAACCTTTAAAGGAAAGCTTTGTATGAAATGAGATAGAAATTGAATGAAATAGGGGTAAATTAGGAAAGCTGTATTGTTTTAGGTTGATAATTACTTAAAAAAATATCAAGTCAAAAGGATATTATCTGTGGTAGTATATATTAATATACGATTGAACTGGAGAGTAACTCTAATAAACTTTCTGCCTAGACGTGCTTCGATGAATGAGCTACGGCGACTCTGATTAACAATCGAAGGGCTTGTATGGCGCTCACGGAATGTAGGTTGGACGACCTCAACTTTGCAGTAGAGGGCTTCGAATACATTTTCGAGTGTTATTATATCGAGGAAGATATCTAGCTCAATCTCAGCTGAAGTGGCGATTTCTTTGTCTAGTTCTGTCGCTCCCGTGGACCTATGATCACCTTGAACAACATTTTAATTATTCTATATCCCTTAATTATCCCACTTCATTTACTTTGATAAGAAATGAAACGATTCTAATTCTTACTTGAGAGATTTATTCTACTGTCAATTTACTAAAAAATTCTGCTTTAGTTCAAAAAATAGTCGATTTTCCTGTCCCAGCTAATCTATGTGACCAGAATATGCAATTTCCACATGGTGACTAGGCCTACCCTATAAAAAAATCGAAGTCGCGCAGCGGATCGCCCAGCAGGTCCGAGGCGGATCCGCTTCAGATGATGTGCAGGAACCCACTCACTATCAGCTTCCTAGTGTTTAAGTTTCGTACATTACTAAAGACGGTACCATACAAGGTGCATTTTACGTTGTTCCCAATTCAACCTGGCCCCTTCAATGAATGATCAGCGCTAAGACCTCGGCAGTGGGGCCAGGAAAGAGTGATCGAGTGTGTACTTGTCAAGTTGATTTCGAGAATGACTGTATAAATACTCGAATAATCAGGAAAATAAATATGCTACTGTATCCAGTGAGGACCGTTTCCTGTCCAACAGAATCACTTTTTCCTGTGTAGAGATGCCTAATGTTAAAATAAAGTTATTCAGATTGAAGACCCTAGAATATCTTTGATGGAGGTCTCCTTGATTCAGAATTTTCTTAGTTGCGTGACAGAGCCAGATAGGTGGATATCCAAGTTTATAATTATGGACTAAATGTAAAGGGTTCTCCCCAATATAGCTTTTCCGGAACTTATAGCACTTGGGCATCTGTTCCCACAATATTTTTTTAATGTTTTTCTGAAACTTTGTTATGTCAAAAACAAAGTCCCTGAACAGAACTGCTGCAGTTTCCTGGCCATTATTGCAGTGTCAGAGATGTTAGACTTTAGGAACAAAGAGATGATGAATTTAGATTTGAAAAAAAACTCAGCTCTGGACCAGATGCAGCTGAGATTCAAACCTTTAAGCGAGGTATTTTATTTATGGTATTCTGTTCCAAAGGAAATGTGAAACAGGCCGACTAACCATCCACTAAGATGAAACTGGCTCTGATTTAAGTATTTAGCTCGATATTGTATAGAAGACTGGATGCTATTATTTGATATTGAAAATTAAGATAGGAACCAAACTTTCTCGTATCAGATATATAGCCTGGGCGAAGAAGATAGATCCTTACTTACGTTATACTTATACGGTATCTCTTGATCTTACAATTGCTACAAGACTAAATACTGTATTCCTAAAATCCCATCCTTGGAGATCAAGTGAGAGGTAATTATACTAATTGGTATCTTTTTACTAGTCTAGTAGCTTTAGTTAGCTCTATAGTGAAAAGAAATCTTATAGAAACGCTTACTGTGCTTAATGTACTCTAACTATCTATAGTCTAGTAGATATAGGGAAAACTAGATTCTAGTAACTCTTCTTCTAAATATATAATATTGTTACTTCCTGAGTCCAGAAACCTACAATCTTTGTTAGTTTCTGAAAGATCTTTCTCTGTAGTGAAACTATTGTCCCTTTCTTTAATATTTAAGTCT